TTCTTGATCCGGGCGGCCACCAGCACCAGCACCTCGCCAACCTTCTTCTGCCTATTGGCAATATCCTTGGACACGGCACACCACAGCTTCCCATGTCATGGCTCTGCATTCTCACAACGCTTCCTCACCTCCTCCTGCTGCTCCTCTGTGCCGTGCTGCAGTTCAAACTTGTAGAAGAAGGCCCACGTGTCCCCTCAGATCCGAGTCAATCTTGACAGTGCGGTGGAACTACTCCCTGGCCTTGGTGATCTTTCGCTCACTCCAGAAGAGCTTGGCCACTGCCAGGAGCACATGTGGGTCATGTTCACACTTCTCTAGGGCGTCCATACTCTTGGTCTTCCTTTGGGGTCTGGCCTCGAGGAAAATGGCTTCAGACCACAGGATGCCTGGGTGGGGGCACTCCTGCAGTGCCTTGGCCATGAGCATGTTAGCAATATTCTTCAGTCCTGCCTGGTATTCTAGGCGCACAGATTCCAACCATAGGCCAGGGTTCTTGGGGTTCCTAAGCCGGGACTTCTCTAGGATGGCTCGAGCTCGGGTCAGCTGTCTGACTTTTTCTTCCAGCCGGGAAAGCAAAAGCCACAGGCGTGTGGAGTGAGGACACTTCTTTAACCCCTGGCTGTAGGCCTCCCGGGCCTTCTTGATCAGCTCCTCCTGCTCTTCCACTTGCCCCTTCATCATCCACAGTTTAGGGGAATCTTCATAATGCTTCAGGGCCTCCTCGCACAGCTCCTGGGCAGCAGCAATGTTCCCCAACACCCACTCCAGCTTCACAGCCTTCATGAATACTCGGGCAGTAGGCGCACTGCTCCGCGCCTTGGCCAGCAGCCTCCGGGCCCGCTCATACTCATTGTTCTCGGACTCCAGCTTCACAGCAGCCAGCCAGATCTCCTCGCTGTTGGGGTTGGCCTGGAAGGCCAGAGCCAGGATGCTCCTGGCGGCGGGCACATCTCCTGCCAACCACTTGGCACCCATGAGCCACAGCACCTCAGCCTTGGGGCAGTGAGCCACAGCCCTCTGCAGCAGTGCCTCCAGGGACTCCCTGGTCCCATGGTTCTTCTCAAAATAGGCCGGTTGCAACCACACACTCTTTTTACTGGGGAACACCTGCAGGGCATAGGCATAGATGGCCCGGGCACACTCCAGAGCACTGTGGGCAACACAACTGTCCGCATCCTCCATCCATGTGTGCTTCCGGTCCTCCTCCTCGATCCCAATGCCGATCACAGCGCGCATGACTGCTTGGCAAGTGGCCACACTGCCGGCCTTGTCACACTCCTCAGCATCCTGAATCCACTGCTCACGGTTGATTTCCACGCCGTTGGCCCGTAGTGAAGTGATTGCACGGTCAATGATCTTCTCCACCATCTGCATGTTCCCATTGGCCTCCTCCAGCTTGGCAGCTGTGATCCAGATGTGCCGATCAGTGGGGATGTTCTCTCAGACTTTGTTTAGGACCTTGCGGGCATTTTCATAGGTCTCGAGCCTCGCCAGAGCAAGCCAGAGCTCCACACTGGTCGGACAGCACTGGCTGAGCATGATCCTGGCAACTTCCGGCTCCTCCAGCTCCACAGCAGCCTTCCACAAGCAGACCGAGTTGGGAACATGCTCAAGGGCTTTCTGAAGAACCCGCTTCTTGGCTTGAACGTCTGTCTCTAGTTCTGCTGCTCTGATGTAGATCCGAACAGACTGGGGGAGGTGATGGACCGCCTGGGCCACTACAGCCTTGGCCGTGTCCCCAGGTTGCAGCCTGGCTGCTTCCAGCCAGACATCTTCACTCTTGGGGCACATCTCTGTGCCCTTCATGATGAGATTTCTTGCCACTTGCCGCTTCCCTGTGACCTCCTCCAGGCAGGCAGATGCAGTCCAGGCGGGTGGGTGGTGAGGGTTTGTCTCCCGAACTGATTTGAGGAGCAGTCATGCCTTCTTGATGTCACTGATGTCCCCTCCGTGTGTGGGGATCATGGAGTTCAGGTCTGTCAGGTAGCCTTTGGGGTCAACCACAGTCTGTCCACTCACCGAGTCAGACACCTGGCTCAGCCTCATGTCCATCAGCGTGTTCCTTGCCTGGCCAATCTTCCTCATGTCCAGCTCACCTGTACCTGGAGTCATCAACCCTGGTGTCATCCCTCCAGAGTACGGGGTGTTCAATCCACCAGGGTAGGGTGTGTTAAGACCACCAAATTGAGTCTGCTGGGGATCCACCGATGTGTGATTCTCGCCAGTCTGCAGATGCTTGGCAAAGAAGCTGTCAGGCACTCAGCTTTTCATAGCGTGGGTTCCGCTGACACTTGTTCTAGGCATCCCCCACCTCTGGGATGCTCAGCCACTCTTATTCTGTGACTTCAGCCAGTTTCCCCTTCAGATCTGAGAACTGTTGCTGGATTTTGGGGCGTTCCATTTGGTATTTCTCGATCTCCTCCTTCTCTCTTTGCTCCCTTCTCTCTTTTCTTCTTTCATCCATCCTCTTATCCAGAGCCGCATAAATGGCATCTGCCTCATCATCATCTTTTTTCATAGGTTCCACTTGAGAAGAGGCTCCCGGCATAGCCATTAAACTCGTCGTAGTTGGTATCATTTGGGTCCTCATCATCATCATCTGCAGCTTGGTTTTTCTTCATCTGGTCCCCGACAGTCCGCTTGCCTGGAGGAGCATGGCGGGCATCCACAGGGTCGTTTGCATCTCGAGCTGGCCCAAAATCTGCCCGAGTGGTGAAGCCAGGCACCGCAGCCCAGCCCCGGCACGTAACCGAGCGGCGCGGGCATGCCCAGAAATGGCTTCTTTTTCTTGTTCATGGCGGCAGAACCGAAGCCGCCGTCACAGCAATACAGCCAAAACTCCTAGGTCCCGGGCGCTGGTGAAAGACGCGTCGAGACATATATTCATTTCTTTTAAAAAAAAAATTTATTTATTTTTCATTTCAATGAACATCTACAGAGATTTTGGAATTCCATTCATTCATTGTTGCACCCTTCTCCCCGCCCCCCCCCACTTTGCTCCTCTCCTTGAAAAACAAAAGGAAAACTCATATTCTTAAGGGATTTCTCTTATGAACGTGACATAGTAAGCAGAACGGCTGGATTCTGTCTGCAAAGGTGTGTTTATTTTCTGGCTTGGGGTTGGGACTGGGGTGTGGCTCTGAGCTGATTAGATTTGGCCTTGTATTTAAAAAGACTTTTGAGCCCTTGGGCCTGCTTTTTGTGACTTTCCCAAATAAAACAGGCTTGGAAGCAGGAGTGGCATCCACTTCTAAAAAAGCTTGCCTCTGGAAACTCTATAAACTTGGAGAAACAATGAAAATTTTGCGTTCAAGACCTTCGTTCAAAGGGTTCCTATGAGTTGTCTACGACTCTATGGCACTTAACAACAACAACAACATGAGCTTGAGGTAAAATCTAAATCAATTGCCAGTTATGTATTATTGTTGTTGTTGTTAAGTGCCATCAAGTCAACTATGACTCATAGTGACTCTATGAACAACAGCTCTGAGCCCTGCCCTATTCTGAGCCAATCTCATTGTTTCTGATACACCTGCCCCCATCTCATCTGGGATCTTCCTCTCCTGTGCTTTCCCCTCTACCCTTCCAAGCATGATGTCCTTCTCCAAGAACGGTCCCTCCTGGCAACATAACCAAAGTATGGGAGGTGGAGCTTCAAAATCCTTGCCTCCAAGGAGCAACCTGGTTTCATCCTCTCTAGGACAAACCTATTTGTTCTCTTGGCAGTCTATAGTATGTTCAATACTCTTCTCTTGCACCACAATTCAAAGGCATCGATTCTTCTGTCATCTTTAGTCATTGTCCAGTTCCCTGAAGCATAGAAAGTAATTGTGAGGACCATGCCCTGGATCAGGTGCACTTTAGTATCTAGCCTAACATCATTGCTGTTTAGCACTCTGGAGGAGTCCCTGACAGCATATTTTCCCAATGCAACTCATCTTTTGATTTCCTTACTGCTGGTGCCAAGAGTGTTGATAGTTGATCTGAGCAAGATGAGACTGTCAGCAATCTTAATCTCTTTTCCATCTATAATAATGCTGCCAATTGGCTCAGTGGTAAGAATCTTTGTTTTCTTGATGTTGAGCTGCAAATCCATATTAAAGACTGCTGTCCAAGAACTTCTGCAGTAAATGTTTCATCAGTTTCAGCAAGCAAACAAAATCCTGCTGAAGATTATCCAAAAATGAGTAGAACAGTACATCAACAGAGAAGTGCCAGAAATATAAGCTGGGTTTAGAAGAGGCTGTGACACTCGGGACATCATTGCTAATGTCAGATCTTTTGTGAAAAACAATGTGTTCAAACTTTGTAAGTAAATAAAAATAATATTTTTTTTAAAAAAAAAGATTGTAAAAAGTTGCCAAATATCAGAAGCATTTATGAAATGCAACTAATCACAAGATGTGGCTCATTATCTGTCTATTGTGGGACACTGGAACTGCTTTAAAAAGTAACACTTCAACCACCTAAGTTTATTTTCTTAACCATCATTATCTGACATAGCCATTTAATTTACATTTACTTTATGTCTCTCAGGCAGCTCTGGTATCTAGAGCATAGGGAGGGGCAATGCTAATCCAAAGGCGGTGCCTCTCTAGTGGTTCAAATCCAACAGTGACTTCTTGGGAAAAGATGGGCAATTTACAGCAATGAGTTTGAGTTTTCAAAATGTATCTTACTCACTGAAATATCAGTATAGCTAAAAAAAAAAACACAACAAACAAAAAGCATAGAATTGATACTGATTCATGGTGATTCTGTATGATACAAAGTAGAACTGCCCCACATGAGATTTTCTTGGCTGTAATCTTTATGGCCTGATCCAGGCCATGGTCTTCACAATTACTTGTTATGCATCAGAGAGCTAGACAATGACTAAGGATGATAAACATATTGATGCCTTTGAGTTGTGGTACTAACGAAGAGTACTTAATATACCATGGACTACTAGGAGAACAAACAGGCTTGTCCTAGAGAGGGTAAAGCCAGGCTGCTCCTTGGAAGCAAGGATTCTGAAGCTTCATGCTTTGCATATACTGGAAGGAGGGACCAGTCCTTGGAGACGGACATCATATTTGGAAGGGTGGAGGGATAGCGCAAGAGAAGAAGGCCCTGGATGAGATGGATTAACTCAGT